TTTTATGGTTTGCTGAAGTCTGGGTTTCTTAGTAAGTTGTGTCATTTGCTGCAGATGCTGCCATCTAAAGATATTAACTTCGTTGGCTACACATATAAGAATTTTGAAATCGTGAATGATCATGATATACCAGGAATTGGTATTTACATCTCTCTCTCTCACTCTCTCTCTCTCTCTCTCTCTCTCTCTCTATATATATATATATATATATATATATATATATAATTATATATTATTTATTTATAACTAATTCTTGCTTTATATTTTACAGAGTGGAGAGAACTGCCAACTTTGCTTTTCTGGGGAAAACCATAGTGTGGCTTGTTCTAGTGTACAAAACATAATCATGTCTCAGAATCTGAATGAATCTCAGAAAGATGCAGTTTTAAGCTGTGTTACTTCAAGCGAATGTCATCATAATGACACTATTAAACTTATTTGGGGTCCACCAGGGACTGGCAAAACAAAGACAGTGGCTTCCTTGTTATTTTCTCTGCTCAAGTTAAAAACCAGAACACTGGCATGTGCTCCGACTAATACTGCAGTGTTGGAAGTGGCTGCTCGCTTGCAGTATTTAGTTAAGGAGTCACTTGGGCATGATACATATGGCTTTGGTGACATAGTGGTATTTGGCAATAAATCTCGAATGAAAGTTGACGGTTATCAGGGTCTCCATGATGTCTTTCTTGACTATCGTGTAGATAATCTTTTTAAGTGTTCTGGATGGAAACAATCCTTGGAATCAATGATCAAGTTGCTTGAGAACCCCAAAGAGCAATATGGCTTGTATAAGCGTGAGGAAGAAAATAGTATTTGGTCATTGGAAGAATATGCTAAGCAAAAGTACGGTCATGAGGAGAATGATGATCCTCTGACTCTGACATTAGAGCAATTTTTGAAGAAGAAATACACTTCCATTGAAGAGCAATATCTTTTGTACAAGGATGAAAAAAAGAAAAGTATCAAGACACTGGATCAATTTTTTATGCATAGATTCTGTTCCAATAGAGAGGAACTCGAGGTATACATGCGAACCTTGCATAAAAACCTACCAACTTCTTTAATTCCGTTTGAGGAGATAAAGAAAATGTATGAAGCTCAAGATTTGCTAAGATCTCTTAAAGCATCTTTGCTTAAAGCCAAGTTGAAGCAAACTTCTGATGGCTGTGAGGATGAAAATAGCCTTCTTGACAGCTTTGGAAGTTTAAGCATAGAGAAGAAGGAAGAGTGCCTCCTCAAACTACGATCACTTTCTCAGACGATTTCACTTCCGAACATCACTGACAAATATGAAATGGCAAAATTTTGCTTGAAGAATGCACGCCTGATTTTCTGTACTGCAGCAACTTCTACTAAATTGTTCGCAGAAGGAATGACACCAATAGAATTTTTAGTTATTGATGAAGCAGCTCAGTTAAAGGAATGTGAATCAACCATTCCATTGCAGCTGCCAGGCCTCCACCATGTAATTCTCATTGGTGATGAGAAACAACTTCCTGCGGTAGTCAAAAGCCAGGTACTCGCTTTTTTTGGTCATTCTTCGTGATTTGGATTGTGTGCACCATTGAGGATCAGTTTCGAATATGATTATAATGATCAAAATTCAGGTTTCTGAAGAGGCTGGATATGGAAGAAGTTTGTTTGAGAGGCTGGTATCGTTGGGATACAAAAGGCATCTGCTTAATGTTCAGTATAGAATGCACCCATCCATCAGCTTATTCCCAAATAAGGAGTTCTACGAGGAGAAACTTTCTGATGCCCCTTTTGTCAGAGAAGTGAGCTATAATAGGCGTTTCCTTGAAGGAAAAATGTATGCTTCATATTCATTTATAAACATAGCTAAGGGTAAAGAACAGAAACCTGATCGTGGATACGGTTGGAAGAACATGGCTGAGGCTGCTGCTGTTTCCAAGATTATTGAAAGCCTTGAAAATGGTTAGTTACTTTTTCCTCCCTCCTCTAGTGTCCAAGTTTGTGTTTGTGAATCGTTAGTTGAATTAATCTCAAAAAAGAAAACTTCTGTTGGATACAATAGTATACCTGGTACCTGACACCTTCCCTTTGCTACAGAATTTCTGGGTACAGGTAAGAAAGTTAGCATAGGAATCATATCTCCATATAATGCTCAGGTGTATGAAATCCAGGAAAGAATTAAGCAGCAAAATTTGGTTTCTGATCCAAACTTCTCTGTTAGTGTTCGTTCTGTTGATGGCTTTCAAGGTAGTGAAGAAGATATAATAATAATCTCCACTGTGAGATCTAATGGGAATGCAAACATAAGTTTTATTTTCAATCGCCAAAGAGCAAATGTGGCACTGACTCGGGCTAGGTATGTTATTTATACATGATACTCACTCATATACTGCATTGCTGCCGTCATTCTGAAAACAGACACAAGTTGATTAAAATCGGGTTTAACTTGTGCAGACATTGCTTATGGATATTAGGGAATGAAAATGCTTTAAGCAGTGGTGACTCTATATGGAGAAATCTAGTCCTTAACGCAAAGGAAAGAGACTGCTTCCATAGTGCCGATGATGACAAGAAACTGTCAAAGGCCATTGAGGAAGCCTTGCTTATTGAACTACTTGACGAATCCCCGTTTAAGAAACTCAGTCTAGGGAGCACGTCACGAACAACTGGAACCACCTTCAGGTAAGTGGATATTAACCTAGTCATCAACTTTCATTTAACTCATTAATAACCAAATAGGCAATTGAAAAATTAAGTAATATTAGTATAACAAGTACGCAAAAGCATAATGTTCACATTAGATTAGCGTAATTGCTAATTGAAGAACTAATCATTTATCTATATACCAGAGGTTCTTTCAGGGGCAGGGCAAGGTCGCCAAGGTGGTAAGGGTTGAGATTATATATAGATTGCATCGGGAACTGTACGAGTTGTAATAGTTTGCCTGAAGATGGTGTCAGATGTGTCATTTTAGATTACGAAGATCTTAGGGGTAAATCCAGGGCTTTGTAACAGTTTGCTGCCGTAACATAAAATCTCGAGTATCTGCAGATTGCACTGTTGAAAAGTGTAGAGTGAAGAAGGTCATGGTGTGCCAATTCTTAGACTTTAAATCGACGAGGGAGTTAATATATTGTAAGTTTGTGTATAAGGATCAAAATAAAGCACAAATAACTTTAGTAAAATAATGTTATAATAAATACGAATTACGTTTTCCAACTTCAAAGCATTCTTCCACGATCAAATTTCACGGTTGATTACTAACAATTATAAGGCCATGGAAACATTTGTTTGCGCTGCTTCTTATGTTTTGTCACTGAAAGCCCACTATCGCGCCAGTCAGATCACGTGATCAAAAAATAACTCGCATCCCGTGGGCCGTAGGTATTGTACATTTGGCATTATTCTTTCTAGTGTATATTTTCCTCTTAGAAATGCATTTGTGTGTTTCATCATCATCATCATCTTATTATTATGAACAAAAGAATGTAACCAAACCGGTTAGGTTCCCTAGCGGAACCAACAATAGTTGGTTGTAGGCAAAGTATATTATAACCCCAGACAAATCTACCTACAATGTTAAAATGTTATATTAACGACTGCAAGGAAAAAGTTAACTACCTTTATTAATGTGGAGGCTAATTTCAAGTTATACCTATGAAAATACATAGTAAAAGACTAAAGTTTTTCCTTATTGGAGTGAAATTGCTTCATATAGGAGCAAAATTTAAGACACCCACCAAGGGGGAAAAATAATATCCATTATACTACATAAAGTAGTGTGAAAAAAAACGCTACATGGCTATGATCTCAACAACATTTGCAGATCGGATTACCCTGACTAATCTATTCCTCTTTTACATGCAGTTAAATGAATAACTTCAATCACTTCCACTGAAGTTTGTAATTCTTACATTAACTATAGTGCCGATATGAACTTCTGAATTTTTGTCTGTGCTCTTTCCTTCTCTTCTGGCCCATCAAGGTCACCAATATTGTCATGATACTCCTGAAACACCAAAAGAAGAAATTCCAATATATTTGAGCCTCTGCTGTTTCTTTATTATATTACTAGGTTTCTAGGAGTGATGCACTGAATCACTCAAACACACAAGTGGGGAAACTAAGCATGGCCAGAAAAGGGAATACAATTAAATTACCAAGATTAAAGTAAAAGGTTCAAAAGGTTGCAACCTTAAGCACAGGCACACTTCAGTCAATGCACTTCTCAGGGATAATCATGTTCACAGATGATTATTTTGAAACTTCATTTTGGGGGCGGGGGGAATGATAAGGGAGTAAAATATTATTCTTTACTAAATCATGAGATTGCTGGTGCCTTGAAATATGGCAAATTGATATTTTTAAGTTGAGCATCAGACTTCATCAACGCATCCTCCACACAGAAACCAACATTAAAGATAATATGTATATCATTGAGGACATATACCTGAAGTATATCCTCGATATGCTTCTTACTAAGTTTGTTCTGCTTGAGAAGTAGCTCAATTCTCCCTCTCATTTGTGGATGCCTGACCACACAAAATTTAATTAACACTAGTCAGGTGAAAACATCTATATCAAAGCTCTTGACATTAACAATATATACTGATACAAATACTTACTCTGAGCACCATATATGACCCAAAATGACAGCAATCAACTGCAGAACCATATATAAATTATCAGTGCACAAGAACAACTGGTTTTTACTAAAATTCTTCCTAAATGCAATTTGAGATGGAAAGAAACTAAACCTGTATAAAATCCATTGGGTAAAACAGTTGATTATGTACAAAGAACATATGTTTCCCAAACCACAAGAAAACATAAAAAGAAATTACTTTTATAAAGTAATTACAGATGAGTTCATAAAACAGCAAAAAACTACTGCTATGTCATTCTCAGCAACAGTTAGTGTATTAAAATAAAATAAAATCTTACCTGAAGAGTATAAAGTCCAGATTCTAGTTTACGGTTGTATTTTTCATCATCATCCATCTAAAAATTACAGAAATGTTAGATTGAATTTTTTTTGGTTATTTCAATGAGATGTAGAATCATAATAAGTCAACTACCTCAAAGTCATCAAGCTCAACTTGATTCAACCGTTCAGTTTCTGCTTTGACTCTATCTGAATATCTGGTGAAGGACAACTCAGTATGTTCAAATGATAATACAAGCTTTAAATCAAGAGCTTACTACCATAAATTTTACAGTTCTATACAGGCAAGGATGTAGACAATCTTTAAGCTTGATAAATAGCAGCTTGAAACAAAATAAAATAAGTTAATTGGGTCCTGTTAACAAGTGTGCTAAGTGTACCAGTTAAGAAATCAATAAATAGAAGTTTTTATTTGAAATCACAGTAGAGGTGCATTGGTAACATTAAATGCTACACTTCCCTATGAAATCTTTCTACTTCTAATTCCTTAACCAATGTCAGTAGGGCACTAATTAACATTCTCCATGTTCCATAATCATGAACTTCACAAAGAGAAGAAAACAAGTGCACCCTACCTGATGTATAGTTCCATTAGCCTGTCTATCTTCTCGCACTCATTTTCAACAAATTTACTTAATAATCTTTCTCTCCTAGAACCCCTCAAGATTCCACCTGGTAAAAATATAGAGCACTGAAGTTCAAAATCGGGATTCAAACCATGAATAGAAATGCCTATTTTCTGAATTGCAAATTGAACTGTACAGTGATTCATAAGATTCATGATTAATAAAAAAAATAACATATACAACAAACAAAGAGATAGAAGTACAAATTCATGATCAATAACTAAAACATAAATATAGAAATAACTTAAAATAAAGAAACACATCAAAAGTCAAAAACATATATATAGTGTGGAAAGAGGAATACACATGCAGTGGCAGACAATGACCAGAACCTGCAGTAAAATAGTGTGGAAAGAGAATCATGCAAAGCACAGTGGGGGAGAGGCAAAGAAAACAAGAAATAAGCAAAAGAGATGCACATGAAGAATGGGCCACCCCGGGTCTGACTGGAGGGAAAGAAATGGCTGATTCCCTCTCTTCTCAACTATTTTTTTGGGGCAAAAAATTTCCAAGGGTTTTCAGAACTGTGCACGGCCTGATCCAGTTAGATGTGTGACCAAGCTGTAGTAGAATCATGTGATTCAGCCTCAATCACAATTTCTGTGATTCAACATTAACTCAAGTGATTCATGATGCAATTCAAGCGCCAAAACATGTTAGCATTCAATTCGCATTGCCAGTCACTAGAATTCTATATTAGGAATCATATCATATCACATGAATCATACGATACTGATAACAATGGTATACACATTCGTCACTGAAATGCACATTTCAATTTCATGATTGGATACACTTAATGTCACTTTGAACAATTAAAAAATTTGGCATCATTTTCATATATAAATAACATGTAATAGACACCAACAACATTTTAATCCATAAGGGCATGTACTACATTGCAGACATTGGCAACAATGCCAGAGTAAGACACCTTTACAGACAACAACCTGGCCTTATCCCCCTAAGCGAGATTGGCTAAATGGAGTGATGCAATTGGGCTCTATCACAAACCAAAATTTTCAGCAACCCATTTAAAGCAAAAACTCTTTCACGTTTGAGACTGACCATGCCCAGTCAAATGCAGGACGCACTGCATATTTGCAGAGCAACTGCAACTTAACCATAATAAATTTTAAAAAAATTACTAATTATGCATACAATCTAGAAACATTGGTCTCTTGTCAAACAAGACATCCTGAGACAAAACTCAAAGAAACCTCACATGCCTGCTTACCAAATAATGATGCAATCAGTGACACAAGACGCTCCTCCATTTCCTCTTGGTACCTTTCTTTCTTGTTCTTCTTACTTACAGGAATCTACACATCAAAATACACAATGTCATTAGAATAATCCATTTGCGACATGTCTACAAAATCACAATTCGCAAACTGACGAAATTCAAACAGACTGAAAGTAACAATACAGCATAACCCATCACAAAAACCAACAATTCAAAATCAAGCAACGCTTTAACTCTCAACAATTCTGCAGTGGGGGCATCAGAGTAAAGTTGTAGTAACACTTGCCTTACCCATGAAAGCTGCAAACGCTGTCTTCAACCCCAAAACATCCACAAAACGTTCACAAGCCGGCGGGTACTTCGTCATCGCAAAATCAAGCGCCCTAATAGCCGACCCATAAGCCAACTTCTTCTGCTTCATGATAATTATCATCAACTCCACCCCTTCAGCCTTCACAAACCGTTCCTTATTCTCCAAAGGCATCAACAAACAACACAAGCAATCAAACAAATTCTCCAACATCTCCTCCTCATCGGAGCTCTTGGGATCCTTAGACTTATACATCGCCACAGCCTGAAGCACCACATCAACCCCATTCATCTGCCCCAACTTCTTCTGATTCACAGTGCTACTCTGCAGCAAAATCGCCAAAATCTCCGAAGCATACTGCTTATTACTATCGAACTCCCTCACCTTGATCTTCCCGAGCAGCCACTTCAAAAGCTTCGTCCTCTCGCACACAATTTCCGCCACCGCGGGCTTCACCTCAATCAAATTCTCCACCGTCGCGAGCGTGCTGTACACGGCGGCGTTCTCGTCGGGGTCGGAATCATTCAGCCGGTGAAGATTCTGAACGAGAAGCTCCAGCGCGCTGTTGTCAACCAGAGCATCGACCAAAACCCTAGCGGAATCGTCGTTGTCGTCGAGAACATCCTCGTCGGTGAGGTCTTGAAGAAGCTGAACGACGTCGATGGCGATGTCGGTGTTGTCGTGGTTGAGGAGGTCGACGATGGACGGAACCACGTTGAGGTTGACGAGGTCCGGATAGAGCTCCGGCGCGCCGGCGAGGACCTTGAGCTTTTGAAGCTCTTCGTGGAGCTCGAGTTCGGAATCGGCGAATCGGTCCGGTTGGTTAGGGTATTTGAGGCGCGCTTCAATGTTCTCCTTCAAGCGACGCTCGAAGGAGAGAACGTGCTTCTTTAGGGCGCGGAGATCGAGGACTTCAACGGCGTTCTGCGATTTCTCGATGGCTTCGAGGAGGGAGAGATCGACGGTGTTCGCCTCCGTGGCGACGCCGTTGGAAACGGCGTCGTCGAATTTTCGCTTGGTGGCGGGGTTCCGAGCGTTCGCAACCTCCATTGTCGCCGGAGAAGGAAAACCCTAAGGCAATGTTGTTTTGAGTTTTCTTTTTGTTTGCAGAAGCGTTTAGTTAGCGAGATGAACGACGCGATGTTGTCGTCGTTTAGGAGTGAAAATCAGTGCACTGGAAGAAAACAAAATGTTACTGATGACTGCTAGGTAGTGAATCTAGTGATATGAACGAAGAATGAAAATTTCTATAAATGATTTTTTTTTTACAAAGTGGACCTACTTTTTTTTATATAGGGTAAAACATCAATATAAAATTATTTTTTATTAAATTATAATAATGTTGTTTTCTTTTTAGATTAATATTATCATATTTTTCCTATCAACACAATATGTATTAATATTAGATATAATATCAAGTTCCTTTAAAAAAATAATGGAGTTTATCTTTAAAAAAAATTATAATTTTAGTTCTTTCCACAATTTTGGATCATGTATTTTAAAATAAAGACATTTAATTCTTTTATTTTAAAAATATAAAATTTTAATTATTTTATTAATTTGATGTTTATTAATAATTAATTTTTATCTTTTAGATAATTTATAATCATTTAAATAATATAATATTTAATAATATGATATTTTAGAATAAAAAATTTAAAATAACATACAAAATATTTTATTTTGATATATTTTTACAAATAATTAATATTTATCTTATTAATAAATTTTATTTGTATATTTTTGAACTTTTAAATACTGTTATTAAATATCATACCACTTAAGTATATATAAATTTTAAAATTTGATGATTGATGAATATTAATTTAACGAAAACACAAATTTTATATTTTAAAATTAGAGAATTAAATATCTTCATAATTATAGATTGATAAAAATAAAAAAATAATTGAACCTATTTTTTAATACGGAAGTCTAACTCGATTTAATTTAATTAGAGCTCTTAATAATTATTAATATATA